TCATCCTATTAAAGTGTTTTGTATACGTGATTTTATACGTTCATTTTTATGTGAACCTAGTAAGACGGTGGCCGCGAGTTTAATCAAACGAAGCTTAAACCCAAACTAAGGACACGATAGCAGTAACAAAAAACGAAATTGGGGTGTACCTACAACACGACGAAACCCATAACGGCAACACTCAACCGTAATGGACCAATGAGCGTGCAACTGACTAAACAAGAAACATTGCTTCATTCCTACACAAAATACCTACAAGTGTGTGTGTGTATGTATGTGTGTGTTTGTGTGTACGTGCGTGTGCGTGCGTGTTTGTGTGTGTGTGTGTGCAATTTTATCAACTTTGCGGCATAATATTCGAAATAAAATATTTATAAATAAATGAAAAAAAATCAATTTTGCTATTTAATATATGTTATTTTAATAATTATAATAATTATTATTAATAAATATTTAAATTAAGTTTGGTGAGCGACTGCAGCCAATTTTTTTTTTTAGGAGAAAACCTTCCATTCTTCAAAATAACTCCAATAAATTAAAAATGATTAAACATGAATGCAGGCGCAGGCAGATAGTGGGGCAATAAAAATCATAATGACGACTTTTTATTGCTTCTCTATTATGTTTTGTTGTTTATGGCTGTTAAATCATTTATGTGCAGTACAAAATGAGAGCGCCTCAGCTCCACACTTCGTTATCTATCTGCTTGTATGCACGTATGATATCAAAAACACTTATAATATTCATGACGACGACGACGACAATAACAACAACATCAACAACAACAACAACAAACAACAGCAGCAGCAGCAACAACAACAACAACAGCGCCAACAAAATCAGCAACTAAAAAATTGTCATCAATATCTTCATCATCGTCTTCTTCATCGTCCATTATCTTATTATTATTATTTTTCTTCTTTTTCTTATTAATATTATTATTATTACCAGACATGTTACTTGTGAGTATGAACATTTAGAACAATTTTCACAACTAGTCAATCACAATACTCAAAATAGAAATAAAAAAAAGATCGAATATCGCTTTGAAAAACATTTCAAAAATCTAAATCACATTCTGTTGACCCATATTTAAACAAATAAATATAATTTTTTCAAAAATAATTTTTAAATTAGAATATTGCTAAATAACTTTAGGTGTGTAAAAAGTTAAAATAGACGTGATATAATACTGTAATCATCGTGTTAATCATCATTTATACCAGCGTCATCGTCGTCGTCATCATCGCAATTATCTTCATCGTCATCATCTCGATACTACAGAGCATTAGCCATCACAGTGAATGGAAACAGAGCAATTAATATTGATGAGTGAGTGTGTGTGTGAGTGAGTGAAGACGACCTCGTCTTGGTCACAATTGATCTCTACTCTAACTCTCTCTTACTTTCTCTCTCTCTCTCTCTCTCTCTCTCTCTCTCTCTCTCTCTCTCTCTCTCTACTATACTCTACGCTCCATTTCTTTTTCCCTATTTCCTAACCAATCAATCTCTCTCTTTTTTCTTTCTTTCTTTCTCTATCTGATCGAATTTTTTATTGAATTTGCTAGAGTCGTAAAATGATCCATTGGTCAGATGATTAAGATGGACAACAGCTTTTATGTACATGTACAGGATAGCATTCATTTGTTAGGTCAGCTGCAGCAACAAAGTTGATCACACCAACCAGCATGGTAAATCTTATACATCGTTGTTGTTGTTGTTGATTTCAGCGTACAGATTCATGATTGCAACATCTTCATTTCAGATGTAGAGTTAGAGATGTTTTTAACTTGAGAAAAAACGCCAAACAATCCAGCACACCATGTAATTTTTGGAAATGAAACTCAATGCACTCAACAAGTGAATGTAAATGAAAATTGGAAAGAATACATCTCGTGGACTGAGATCTGAGAAGAGGAAAGCTTACGGTCCGACACATTAAAACACTGGAAATTGTAACAGTCATTGAAAGGTTTTTTATTTCTATTGAAAAATACTGTGAACCAGTCTAGTTACAGAGTATCAAATTTGTTCGATCTGTACGAGCACTAATCATATAAATATATAATAATCTATAAATAATACACATGCGAACCACGCATTCAATTGTAAATAGAAAAAATCCAATGCACCAAACACACAGAAATAAAACATATTCAGGGTCACTTATCCACACACACAAGCAAAAAAGATTCGAACACACACACAGACACGCACGCACAGATAAACATTTTTGATTACAAAATTGATACCCGCAACACAAATAGATAGATAGATGGATAGTTGAGATAGCAAATACGGCAAGAAACGAACGAACGAACGAACGAACAACCAGTGGAAGAACCAACCATCTCTCAAATGTTTCCACATCTCCTCAAACAGCGGCAAGTGATGCCTCTTGCGTTATGTTGCGTGCGAACTCTCGGGTGGGCGGAGTCGAAAAATTTTCAACCAATCAGATTTGAAGTGCTCACTGACTTATTATTATTAAAATTAAATGAAAAGTTTTATTTTCAAACAATCGTTGTGCTGCACATGAAGTCCAGATGACATAAACTAGAGTGCCAGTTATCGATGCATATTTTGATTTAATTTTTATAGAATAGTTGTGCGATTTTATCTATGATCAGTTTTCAAAACTCGTTGGACGTAAAAAAAATAAATAAATAATAAATAGAATAAATTTCCATTGATATTTTGTTTGCACACGTCAAAATGGAGAAAAATAAACAAACGTCATTCATTTGATAAACACCAAACAATGAATGTTACAAAGCTTCAACAAAGCTTCAACAAACTTATTAACGCTAACAACACCTTAATCCAAATAATTAATATCAACAACATCAATGCTATCGAATTGGAATAACTTACTTTAAAAATGGTTCGTATAAAAAATTTGATTCACGTTTTTTTTATTAAATTGAAACAACGTGGTTCCAGATTTTGTCATTTAACGTTTGAATTTTAAATTCAAATTAAAATGAAAAGCGAATAAAAATAAAGAATGGTCAAATCCCGTGATAATGTTGATATTTGTTAAGACCAGATCAAACCATTTAGTGAATCTCTGAATCTTAAAATTTAATTTTCATTACAAATCATTTCAAATCTTAGCTTGTAGTTGTTGCTTATTTATTCAGTGAGTTCTAATATTTATAGTTTATATCAAGTCATGTTTTTAGCTTGTAGTTGTAGCTTATTTCTTTTGCAAAAAAAGTAAAATTTCAACACTTTAGACAAATTTGAAGAAAACAAAATGCACTTGTTAAGTTACATCTCATATTTTCACAGTTTTAATAACATGTGAATTAAATATAAACCACCAATATATGTTAGTTGATCAAAGACAAAATATTTTATTTTTGCAATTTCAACTTTTTTTTTTAAAGAACAAAGTAGGACAAAGCATGCATTACATACAATAAGATCTCGCTTGATTATTTTAAAATTAAATTTCTTGACACCAGCATTTATGCTATGTTTTGGAAATTTTTTGAAAGAGTCCACATGTTTGCTTGACACGACATGTTACATTTGTTCGTTTCAAAAGTTTAAAAGGTTACTTATCATACATGTTAGCTGTTCATATGCCGTTCTTCATATGCGTCTTATATGTTAATTTTTTAAAAATATAAGCAATATATTTTATTATCTTTATTATAATTACACACACACACACACACACACACACATATATATATATATATATATATATATATATCATGCAAAATAAAATTTAAAAAATATGATAGAAGAAAAAATCATAAATTTTATTCGTGTTTGCTTCTTATCATCTCACAAAATTGTCTTGTCATATCATACAATTGTCATTAACAGACTGATAAACTTTCAAATAAACTTCTTTTAATAAGAAATTGAAAAACAACAAATTTTTTGTTATTTCTTCAATTCCTTAAAATTTTAATTTGCATTTAAAAGAACAAAAGAATGAATAAATGAATGAATGAATGAATGAATGAGTGAATGAGTGAGTGAGTGAGTGAGTGAGTGAGTGAACGAACGAACGAACGAACGAACGAACGAACGAATGAATGAATGAATGAATGAATGAATGAATGAATGAATGAATGAATGAATGAATGAATGAATGAATGAATGAATGAATGAATGAATGAAACTAAACTTTTAAAATATTTGTATTTTTTTCATTTTCTTTTCAATGTTCCAATACCTTTGCAGATCTTAACGAACATGGGGCGTCAAGAAAGTTGACCACGTCAATAATTTTGAACTGTCGAAAATTTGTGCTTGCTTGTTGACAGCAGACTTTATTACTTATAATGAACGAATTGAAATAATTAAAATGATAAAATTGAATTAAAATAACTAAAATGGTAAAATTTTGAATGATGAAAACACAACTTGGCTCTGCTGGTAAATTTGACGAAGAGAAATCAAGCACAGTAACCGAAACAGAAATATCAGAATGTTTGAACGGAGAAAAATCTTTGCTTGGTTTTAATGTAAATGAAAATACAAAATCATTTTTCCCCCTTAGTAATATATTGATGAACGACTTTTCCACTTCGAACTATTGTGATAACATTGGTAATGTTGAAAATACAAGCACCAAAGAAGGTTCACAAAATAAAAATGAAAATAAATGCACGTCTAAATTAAAAATAACAAATGAATCAGCTTACCAAGTGTTTGAGTGTTCAACAACATTTGAAGAGCCGTACAATGACTATCAGAGTCGATTAAAAAAGTTGCCTTCTTGTTCAGTAACGGGTAATGTTTGTTACAAAGAAAATAACTGTCAAAATTGTGATTTCAAAAATTATAATTTTGAAAACAACGAAACCTTTTATTCCATTTTTCCAAATTTGACTCAAACTGAAGCGTCGCTAGATGCAAAATGTTTAAACAACATATCGAACAACAATTCAACGATATATCCGTCGACAGAATTCTTAACGAATAACTCTCATAATCAATTTTCCACCAGTACAACGTCACACGCGAATCAAAACTCAAAACCGGAAAAGCCTCCATTTTCTTACATCTCGTTAATAATCATGGCAATTCAGTCATCCAGTAGCAAAAGATGCACGTTAAACGAAATCTACTCCTACCTACAGCGCAGGTTTCCATTCTTCAGAGGTTCCTACCAAGGTTGGAAGAATTCTGTTCGACACAATCTTTCACTAAACGAGTGTTTTGTTAAACTGCCGAAGGGTTTGGGAAGACCTGGGAAAGGCCATTTCTGGACTGTGGATCCCAGCGCAGATTTCAAATTCGAGCATGGAGCCTTTCGACGAAAACCAAAACTTTTTAAAACCAACCAAGAAAATAATACAATAGATGAAATTGATAAGAAAACAAGCGAGCAGTACAAAAATACTGTTGAAGAGTTAAAAGATTCCATTAAGAAAGAGAACAATGAAACAACGAACAACAACAACAACAGCGGCTTGAAAGACGAAAAGGTTTTGAATGTCAGATTTTTTTTATAACATTTCACGTGTGTTACGTTTTTCTATTACACACAAACACGCGCGCGCACACACCACACGCATACACACACACGTATATATGATTGTTTTTTACGTGTTAACACGCATAAATGTAAGTTGAATAATTTTTTTTAAACTAGGCTGTCAACTGCGTCAAAAAAAATGTCAAGAAATCCCGGGTGAAATTAAACGACGGAGCAAGTAGAAAATCAGAAGAAACTTGTGCCGGATCCAAAGTTGGAACTCGACGTTCAAAAATTGTTCCTAACCTTCCTGTCAGTAAATAATTATTTTTCAAATTTTATACTTTTCAATATTATTAAATTATTGACTTTTCAACAGAAAAAGCCAACAAAAAACGACAACGAAATAATGACAAAACAGACAGAAAGTTTCAAAATCAAGGACTTCCTCAAATACAGTGGTCCAAACGGTCTACCAATAAGTGAAATGGTAAAAATTAAAAAAAATGAACCTGAAAGTGACTACTGCCAAAACTCACTACTTTTATGGCCTCCAAATAAACCAAATTTTCCTACTAAACAAAATGATCTGAATCGTTTGACATCGATAACTAGAAAATTTCAAAAGCATGGTTCAAATGAACAATTACCGGTGAAAAAAAACTCTGAAAATTATTTAGGCATCAATAATGGTTTTCGTCAAGCTAAATCAGTTCGCCACTCTTATGATACGTTGGAAAACATGGATGTAGATGAATTTAAAAATTATTTTTACGAAAATTCAGAAAAAATGAGAAATTGTCCTATGTCACCACAAATTAGCAGATCTTCAAAATCGAATAATCAGCAAAATTGTACACAATTAACACCTATGCATGGCTTTATTCCCAGCAGCAAGTACAATTATTTATTGGCTCAGAATGACATGTTGAGAAGAGCACCAGAAACGCAAAATGCGTCAACTCATAAAGATACTCCGAACTTGCAAACGAATGTTGATGATGTTTGGCAGGTGTCAAGTAAAAACAAGCCTAGCAGCAACTTTGCGACAGAAGATGCAATGACTTCAAACATGACCAACAACTCACCAGCACAGCAGCAGCAGCATCAACCGTGTCAACTGCAATGTCAACATCCACAACAATTTCAAAATCAGCCTTCATTGCAACATCAAAAACTAGAAAAAACAGAATCTTGTCAACAAAATTATCAACAGCAACAATCGGTGCAACAATTTCAAAATTATTCACAACAACAAAATAACCATTTGGACCAAACGGCTCAGCCGTTGTTAATAACTCCAAACTCACAAACAATACATAATGCATACATTCAAAATCAATCATACAGCGAAGATCAAAAATTAGACATAAACAGCGTGAATTACGTTCCACAGCAACACCCTACTTCTCGTTCTACCGTAAATAGGAAACATATTTTTGACAACGCCAGATCAATTATTCATCAGTTAGAATCTAGGTACGGAAACGGAGAAGTGCTCATGTATACTGCTGATGATGGCATACCTCCCATTGTAAATTCAAACGAATTTGAGCGAGACTGCTCTATTTCTCAGCAACCTAATCTCCAAAAAGCCAAAAGCAACCAGTACAATTTTTCAACAAAAAGTTCGCAAAAAAATAATTACAGCTACTCAGATTTGACAGACGACATCTGCAGAACGCGACCGACACGCAGCGGCGATTATTATGAATCAATGCCTTATTCGTCTAATTCAATGCCGTATATTTGTACACATGCAAACAGTTCAAACCACCCGTACTACTGCTTCTGTAATCCTAACATGGCTTACTGCGATTATTATTCCCGAAAGCCAACAAAACCAGGGTTAGTATATAGCACTGCCTATCCAGTCCCGAACGAATTCTCTCGCTTATTCTCAACCAGTGACTACCACCGAGCAATGCAGTCTTACAATCTCAACCAAATGCAAAATAACAATTTTCTACCAGTCGACTCACCGTACGAGTTAAAAAATGCAAACCAAAATCGATTCTTGAAGCGGGATGGTTTTCAACTCCCACCCTCCTCCTCCTCCTACAATCCCTACTCCTTGAACTTTTATAACAACGGGGGGTTTCGTCAGTCCCGAAATCGGAAGGCCAACAAAATGCCCTACGGATGGTGCTACAACGACTCCAGCTACAAATACATAAACGGTGGCTACAATAAAAATCAAAAATATAATGACTACGATTACCATTCAAGGCGACAACTAAATGAATTCGACAGAAGCAACAACTTTACGCGACATAACAACCTCGAAGCTAACCTTTCTAGTCCAGGTGAAGATATATCTTTGGGAAAGCACAAACAAAATTCTTCTTATGATGATGACCGCAATTTTTCTGCAAATAACAATTCAAGCGAAAGCGACATCCTTGTTACAGATTTAAACTCACTTTTATCAATTTGTTTTCAAGATTCTGATGCATCGAATGATCAACTTTTGAATTTCACTGTAGACAAGAATGAGGAAGCCGATGAAATGAACATGAACAACGATACTACAATATCAACATGCGATGGTTTGGCCAGTCATGAAAACATGGCAAATGTTTTGTAATTTGTTCTCGTACGTAATGTGATATTAGTGAAAAAATTGAGTTTCAAGTATTAAGAACTGTTGTCAAACAATGATTTTTGAAAAATTATTTATGAGACTATTGCCAAATTATTTTGATCTGATTAAGAAAAATGTTAACAATTAAAAAGATAATGTATAATCACAACAAGATTTTATTTATTTAAAACTTAGAGGTCAAACGTATGCATCAATGATGATGGCCTATGACCTACGACCTTCGAAAAATCTGTTTATTAAGTGTTGGCAAATGTCGATGACGTTTGGTCGTGCCGAAGCAAATATTTTGTAATTTGTGAGAACCGCTTACAACGTAACTATTGATGCACAGTTACTTGTTACACTGTGAAAACAAATAAAAACAACTTATACACAGTCAGGGTTAGTATAATTGTAAAATGTTGATATAAGGTTAATTGATTTCAGTGTGAAATCAACAGCTTCTTCTTGGTGGCTTGGCAGGCATTTAATTTAATCACTCATTTATAATGCATGAGGCGAAATTCACCCGGTAGTATCGTTGTAAAGAAAGAAATTTTTAACAAACGTTTAAAAAATTAAAATATAGAATGAATGAAGTTTATAAAAATCGATCATCGCTAAGCCCAGAAAATTTATTTTTAGCAATGTATGCCCGCATTATTCAATTATATTTATTGCAAATTTACGTGACAGCGTTTCTAGGTGGTTCTAGGAAGGATCCTTTTCTAAAAAATCATGAGCATCTTTCAAAAGTTCTCCAACCCCTTTTGCGAACCAAACCGATGAATAGCTATACTTAAAATTGAAACAAAACAAAATAAATATTGTATTATAATTAGCTTTGAATTTCATATTTTATTAATTTTGAAAGACAGAAAATTTGAAATATTTTAAAAAACTGATCTCGTTTAGTGTTTCAACGTTCTTCTTATCAAAAGGCCATTCGTATATTACGCAAATACGAAAAAACGACCAACTCCTCTCCAGTTACATAACAATAAAATTTTTCATAAATAAAAAAAATCAATTTAATCCATAAAAACCTCTACCTTTAAGTTCGTTGCATTAACTTTTTATTTGAAATAATAAGAAATCAATTATAAAAATACTATGCAGGCAGATGGATCTGGGTAGGAACTGTTGGAGATTCAGCATAAAGATACATCAAAATTTATAAATTTTATTCAGATCGATAAATTTAATTTAATGATAAACATAAAAAAATAATTTGTTACGGAAAAAATTTTGACCCACTCTCTGACAGAGATGAGCAGTAATGTATTTCAAGTAATGAAATTACGTAATTCAAATTACAATGGTAATTTGTACCGAAATTACTTTCTAAGTAATTTGTAATTTATTAATTTCATCTTTCATGTAATTTGGTAATTCCAAAGTAATTTCAAATTACATTTTGACTAAAAAATATAGTTAATATGTGAGTGAACAGATATACTTACACAAATTAATATTATTATTAAAAAAATTTTTTTCTTGAAATTCTAAAAATCTTTTAAATTCTAAAAATTTATTTGATTAAAAATTTCATTTGCTACTTTGAAGTTTTATGGTCATATAGCTACCTCAAAGAAGTTTACTTCTTTGATGTTTGACGCTTCTTTTTTTCTTTCTTTCTTACCTTCTTTCTTTCTTTCTTTCTTCAGTCGTTCATTAAACGATTGAACAAATTGTTGAACGAAAGAAAGTAACTTAATAAATGAATAGAAAAATGACATCAAAGAATAGTAGCGCAAAGAAAAATCAATGTTAAAATAACTACAAAAAAATTTTTTCTTCATTTATTCAAAACTGGCTAGATGTAATTTAATTTCATGTAATTTGAAATTAGTAATTTGTAATTAGTAATTTTGCTCTTTAATTAAATGTAATTTGTAATTGGTATCGAAATTACAATATTTAGAGTATTTTGTATCGAAATTTCAATATAGTGGGTAATTTTCCCATCTCTGAACGTTACATAATAGTACACAACCACAAATGTTGGCCACCCGTGAGAACCCCAACATTTAAAAAATTTTTGTCCCCCCTATAAAAGTTGTTAAGATCCGCCACTGCTGGGTACTGTACGAGGTTTTCACCTCAGGACGGATGGATTGATTGCCTGGCGGGTAGTGATGGATAGAAGGAGAACCTCGAGTCACACTGCTTAACCATGCACGTCAGCCAACAAATGGTAAAAAATGAAAGAGCACCGTTGCAGTAAGTAACATAGAATGTAATGAATAAAATATTATTAACATGCCGTCTCCACGTGTATCAAATTGGAGTAAAGTTCACATTCATCTAAAGACGTCCTATTCAGTTTGGCGTCCAGATTTTAACTTTTAAATAATTAAGATAACAACATTTTTGTGCTGAACAAATTGTATTTATTAACTTGCATATAAATTTTTAATGCAGTAAATTGTATGTCAGACATTTGAATTGTAAACGTACAACAAACAAATTTCATCAATCAAGATCTCGGGCAAATATTGCCTTCACATTGAAGATAGGCCTAGGTTGATGGCAATTGTTCATTTCTGATGCATTAAAAATTTTATATATCAATCTTATTTTTCATGTAAATTAATTTTAATAAACAGAGCGCAGAATAACGAGTTCAAATCTGACAGAGTAACAGTCGAAAGATGACAAAATTGAAAATCAAGCCAAATAATGTCAGGCATATGATGAACAAATATATATAGTAGATATATTGCAATAACAATAATGTATCATTAGTGAAATGTTTTGATTTCAATTTAATCTGTCTGCTATGAAACTCTATTAGCTAGAACTGAGAACAAACAGTCTTGCCAGTTTATTTTTACAAAATGGATGAACATACTTTATTTTTTTCTATTTCGTTTCGTTCTTGGCTGAGACTCATCTGATGAATCATCTGATGATGACGAAGATGACGACGACGATGATGATGAACTACTAGTGGATGAATCATCATCATCTGATGATGATGATGACGATGATGATGACAATGATGAATCTTCTGAGTCTGAAGATGAATCTTCAGAAGACGAGGAATGCTCTGAAGATTTTCTGCTAACATGAACATTTCATTAGTTATTAAAAGTTTAACTAACAATAGTTTTAAATAAACAACAAAAATTAATAAAGATAAAAAATTAATCACTTATTTTTGATGAGTTTGATGCCCAGTATATTATCATCTTTTTTTATTTGTGATTCAGCTATGACAGCTTTATTCTCCTTGTTATTCAGCTTCATTTCTAATTTCTTAGTCCTTGATTCTCTTGAAACATATTTTCTCTTACCAGTGCATGCATACGTCCAATGGCCAATTTCTAAGCATTTTTGGCACCGAAATTTTTCAGAACTTGGTTCACTGTTGAATAATGATCAGATATTAATAAATAAAATAATGAATAATAACATCAATCAATTAATTAAATTTTTTAAATATAAACATTACAAATTAAAACTCTCATTTCTTGTGAAGCAATTTAAGTATTAATTTTTAGCAATATCAAATTTTTTAATAAAATAAATAAATAAAAAAGAAACAATATTTTGATTTTGTTTGATAAAAAATTAGTGAAAACTGGAAATCTTACTTCTTTTTTATGAGACGTCTAGGCACTGTCGTAGACATAGTAACTATTGATGTTGTTGTTGTTGTACAAAGTGAATTAAATCCTAATTTTATTTTTCTATTAAATCTTTTACGAGATGGCAGTTAGCTTGATCAACTTAACTAGAACTACTTGCTCCCAAAACTAAACCAGGTAGGTCAGCACAGAATGAAAAGATTGAACAGACACCACTGAGCTCTCTCCTTTTTATATAAACCGGTATCCGATAAATAATATAACGGAAAAATCTCAATTAGTTTATAATTAGTTCATATAATAAATATAAATTAAATTATAAAAATAAATGCGAAACAAAACACGTGAACATGACATTTACTTTTAAATAAAACATAGAATCTTATATATTAGCAGAGAAGCCTTGTTGATTGTAAATTAAAGATTACGAATGTTTAAAAAGTAATAAAAGAACTCAAATAAGCAACTGATCTTAGCTGTAATTGAATAAATTTTTTTTGAATGCCTATCATAAAAATGTTTATTATTGAAAACTTTATTTTATGTATTTATTAAAATTTAATAAATTCAACTTAAATTTTATATTTTAATCGCCAGTCGTAAAAGTGAAATGTTTAAAATTAAAACATAAAATTGATTTTTTATAAAATATTTAAACGCAACATTTTCAAATGCATACATAACTAATTTTAATGTTTTGTGTTCGCTATTTGTAATTTATATATATATTTTAAATTTAAATGTTTTGTAAATGTACAAAATGTTTTAGCGTTGCTTTGTCGGTTGTCAGGATGGCCGAGCGGTCTAAGGCGCCAGACTCAAGGTTAACCTTACCTGATTTAAACGCAGGTCGAGTGTTCTGGTCCACGAATGTGGGCGTGGGTTCAAATCCCACTTCTGACAAATATTTTTCCACCAATGACGAACGGTTTTTTTTCGAGCAAACCTCAAATTTGGATGTCCATTAAACTGAAGGAACCTGATTAGGCTCCTATGTCACCGGTTCGTTTCCATCATGAAATCTTCGTAACAACTCAAGTTCTATCCACTTATCTTGTTTTATTGTTTCATTTTCTTGTATGGTTTGCATTTGAGCGTAGCATTAACGATTACTTCTCGCATAGTATCGGTAATATCGTTATTCTCGTTTTCGATGTCGATGAGAGAGAGGCAGAGCAAGCAGTGGGTCTTAAGTTAGGTCTTAAGTTATTTATTAACCGTAAAACTTTTTTGAAACTATTTTAATAACGATTTCAATAAAATTATTTAAGTAATTAGAACGTATGAAAAATAATGTAATTATTAACATCATCTTAATGTTTAAAAATCTTTAATTTCTCTTTACACAAATCTTGGCTTTTAAATTTCATTCTGAATTGTTAAATGAAATGTCATCATTCTCCGAGCGAACGTGTGGTGCCACACAAATTTAAAAAAACGTGAGACACACTTCATATTTTCAGCAGCCAATAAATCTTTCTTGTGAAGGCAGTCTCAAGCTTTTTTTTCCATTCTTCCCTGGTTGTGGTTGTCTTAAATGTCTACTTCTATAAAAGTTTTGAAGTAATTATATTTAATTGTTTATTTAAAATCACTTATTCATTAGCAAGCTTGCCCAAAAAAGTTGAAGCGAATGTCCATTAAGTTAAAATAGAATAACTATCACGAATGAGCTGAAACTACATCTGTAGCAGGTGGTTGCAGGTGGCAGTACTTCATTTGATATAAGACTTCCACATCAAGCTCCCATCTTCATTTAATATTTTGAGCGTGCTGTTTCGATAAATAATTAAAATTAAATAATTGAATAAGCAGAGTTTTCAGTTGAAAATAACCTATTTAGAAAATTTACTTGAAGCATTTAATTAAGAGAGTTTCAAGAAACCGGTCAAACTAACTTTTAAACTTGCGTTTATTATGTTATAAATATCCGGGCTTTTTTTATAACTGTAGATCATATAATGATTACCTTATTGTCGACCAAAATAAGTCAGTACAAAATCATTAATGCAGAACACCTTTCATTTTTGAAGAAACAGGAGACTAAACAAATTTGACATAAAGATTGCACATAGACTGGTGGATTCATTATAAGTGATTAACTAGCCTTCTGGTGATTCATGAATGTAGAGGAATATACACACTGATAAAAATCCAACAATCCACAACGAGGTCTATATGCAATCCCGCACAAGCAACCGCCCTGGTATACAAAAAAGTCTTTTTAAAAAATTTGTATAAAATTTTTTTGGTGTATTTTTGAACACAATTTGTTGAGACATAAAAATATACACTGGTCGAGCGATGGCGCAGATTTGCTTGTTAATATTTAATAGGGTTTTATTGTCCGCTTGGCTTCATTCCACCTAATCTTCATCGCCTCTTTTAAAGCTTCTCAAATCCTTAAAATTGATTGAATTATCGCTCCACACTTGCATCGCAACTGTTCTCCTCTTCCTCTGTTATTTGTACTGATGCTGCTGCATTGGCGTTGCTTATCATCACGTTCTGTTCTTTATAGTGATACGTTGTTGTGTTGTTAGTCATATTGCCTTGCTGTAGCCAAGCCATGTCATGTTCATCATGTCATGTCATGCCAATCAACGTTCTTTTATCATGTGTTTTATTATGCATTTTATGGCGTTGTCATTTTAGGTTGTCTATCGTGTAATTTAGTTTAGTTGCTTTTGGAGGCAAAGTCAAGTGATAAGTCTTTTCTACACGATAATTTTGTGATATTTTTTTCATATATTTGGTATTAAATTAAATGTTTTTAATAGAAATATTTAGTACAAAAAGTCGTCAACTCAACTTTTTCAAAAACTCTTGTTCGGCTAAAAATTTCTTTCGATGCATTGCGAATTTCAGATTGCATGGAGGATGGTAGGACAAAACTGATCGCTCTGCAGCCATCAGGTTTTGTCATCTTCACTGTTTCCCTTTTCTCCTATCTATACAAACAACTGATTTACCAACGTGACTAGTGGCCACTTCTGTTGGGACTGACCAGGAGTATCATCAAGGAACAACCATAGGTGACATTTTCACAAAAATTATTAAACAAATTTAAATTTCTTTAGGTTTTAGGCTCTTAAAAAAGAATTAATACATGATAGTGTTTAAAAGTGAAAACATGAAAACGTGTTTAAACTTTTGCGAATTTTCTGCTTTGAAGCGGACATTAAATAGCTGGTTCAGCTGGTTGATTGGGATCAAGGAATCGTCCAATAATTAACGTTTATTATTTCCTAAATGTAAAGTTATGTCGTCAGGTGGATTAGGAATTGTGCAACGTAAGAAGAGCGTGCGGAAGCATTTGCATAGCTTCACCGTTCACTTCAATGCGGTCACCTCCACCCCAATTCTTATTCTCACTCACGTGCAGTTTCATCGATTTCAACTGTTTGTGAATCTTTCTACAAGCAGATAATAATGATTGTAATGATGATTGAAACAATGATGAAGATGGATGAAATGACGAGGCTGATGTGGTTGAACCGAGCGATGGGAAGAAATGAAGACGATAATGATGATTTCGATGATTAACGCTGACGATGATGTCGTGAGTGATGATAACAGTTCTCACTTACAACGAAAGCAATAATAATAATAATAATAATAATAATAATAATAATAATAATAATAATAATAATAATAATAATAATAATAATAATAATAATGGTTACAGTTGTAACGAGAACGTTGATGATTGCGTGGATTACGTGAGTGAGATGATGAAGACGACGATGATGATGTGGTGGGTGACAATGATGATGACGATGATGATTGAAATAACTATGCAGTGACGACGACGATGAGGCCGACAAACAACTGGCAATTGGAACAAATGTGACTTTTAAACGAGTGGAGACTGCTTTTAAGTGTGAGTGCGTATTAAAAGCGAGCGTTTCGTGAATTATTCAGAAAAATCGTTCCGATCTCGTTAAAATGACGTCAGCAAACGTCGCCTCGCTGTTGTCATCATCACCATCACCTCGTTATCGTCATCGTCAACTCGTTATCATCACCATCCCCTCGTTATCATCACCATCCCCTCGTTATCATCACCATCCCCTCGTTATCATCACCATCCCCTCGTTATCATCACCATCCCCTCGTTATCATCACCATCCCCTCGTTATCATCACCATCCCCTCGTTATCTTCACCATCACCTCGTTATCATCACCATCACCTCGCCAGGTCTTCGCTGTCATCCCCATCAAAACTTATAAATGATATAGTTAAAAAATATGTAATGATAATCATAGTGGTAATAATAATAATAATAATAATAATAATAATAATAATAATAATAAGTATTACAACAACAACAAAATGACTGAAGCACTTAGAACCAGAAACTGAATGAAGAACTTTCACTCCTCACTTGCTTATTTTAATTGCAGATAATAAAACTGATCTCTCTCTCTCTCTCTCTCTCTCTCTCTCTCTCTCTCTTAATGTACCTTTTTTACTTTTAACATGTTAATTATCTCAATAAGAATGATAATAGCAATCAATCAATTATTATCATGATTACTGATAGTATTGTATTATCATTATTATTTTTATTATTATTATTTGCCAGTAGTCAAACAAATGGCAGTTTAATGGAGTTTCACTCACTTTAAAAAACTTCTCCACAAAACTGGTCTATATTTGTTAATTCATTGAATCAACAATAAACCGCTGATCTCATCAACAGAATACATTGCTGAAAAATTTTATAAAACATTTAAATTATTTTCTACATACCTATGTTTGCAATGTATGG